TTTCCCAATCTCTTTTTTGAGGCTCCGTGGTCAGTTTGCATTTGGCTAAGAATACCTCACCTTTATCAGATTTTCTCATTTATTTTTGGGAAATGGCTTTTAGCAGGATATAAATTGCAAATATACAATATAGCAATTTACTAGGGCTCAGCGGCTCAGAACATAATCCCAGCCTCCTGGGATGTGAAGGCAAGAGGATGGCCACAATTCTGAGGTGAGCCTAGATCACATAGTAAGTTCAAGACCCACATCAGCTACAGGGTAAGACTCTGCCTTAAAACAACAAAGCAGAAAGTTGGAGATATAGCTCAGTTGGTAGAGTGTTTGCCCGCCAGGCACAGAGTCCTGGGTTCAATTTCAGCACCACATCAAACAGGTATCCCAGTGTATACTTACAGTCCCAGCACTCCATAGGAGGGCAGGGAGTTAAATACCAGCCTGGACTTCATACACAGCAAGTTTGAGGCAAGCCTGGGATACACTAGACCTTGTTGTATAACGAAAACTAATGAACATATGAGCACCCACACCCACACACACACACACAACCAAACTGAAGCAACAACCAAATAAAAATGTCAGGTGTAGCAATGCTGTCTGCACTTGGGAGGCTCAAACAGCAGGGACTTCGGTGAGTTAGAGGCCACCTGTGCTGCACAGAGTTCAAGCCCCGCCTAGAGTGTGTATTGATGTAACACCCAGTGATCCCTTTCAGCAAACACAGCAAGCCTACAGCTTAGAGCAGTAACCTCTGTCTCACAGACTGCACACACCATGGCTTCTCAGCTATGCCACACGTGTGGAGGTCAGAGGACAACTTGCAGGAGTTGGTTTTGTCCTTCTACCATGTGGGACCTGGTGATGGAACCCAGCTCTTCAGGCTTGAAGGCAGGTGCCTTAATGATGCCACGCACACGTTTTCTTATTTTTTATTTATTTATCTATCATCTATCCACATATCTATCTATCTATCTATCTATCTATCTATCTATCTATCTCTGTCTGTCTGTCTGTCTGTCATCATCTATCTGCTTATTAATTCATTTAGTTTTTTTCAAGACAGGGTTTCCCTGTGTGTCCTCAGATGTCCTGGAACTCGATCTGTAGACCAGGCTGGCCTTTAACTCACAGAGATCCGCCTGCCTCTGCCTCCTGAGTGCTGGGATTAAAGGTGTGCGCCACCACCACCCAGCCCCAGCCATTGATCTTAACTGCTGGGCCATTTTTCCAGCCCCAATCTCTCCATTTTTAAAAATAAACTTATTGAGAGAAACAGGGACAAGGTATTTAATTGTGAGTGGGAAAATGACAGAAGGGTATGGTAAGCAAGAATGAATGCATTTGGGATACAAGAAAGAGTGTAGGAGCGTCTCCAGCAAGTGGCCAGGGTGTAGCCAGGGACAGGCTGGGGCTCCCGGGGTGGAGAAGGTCTGGGAAAGAGGCTCTGTGAGGTGTGGGTGGTGGCTGCACCTTCTTGTACCTATCGTCTCTGCCTGATATCTTGTTGCATTTACTTCAGGCTTCTCTCCATACAGCAAAGTGGATTTGCTTTTCAAAAATGTCTCTCTGGGGCCTGGGAGAGGAGGCCCAGTTATTCATTACAAGCACTTGCTGTCCTATGTGTGGGTCTCTGAGGTTTCAAGGACCTCGGTGCTCCCAACACTCTTGCCAAAGACCTGAGTTTTGGTGCCAGCACTCACAAGGCAGCTCATAATTGACTGGTAACTCCAGCTCTTGGGAATCTTATGCCCTCTTCTGACTCAATGGGGACTGCACACACAGGGTACACTTAACAGACAAGCAAACACACACACACACACACACACACACACACACAATCATTTTTAAAAAATGAGCAACCTGAGCCGGGCGTTGGTGGCGCATGCCTTTAATCCCAGCACTCGGGAGGCAGAGGCAGGCAGATCTTTGTTAGTTTGAGACCAGCCTGGTCTACAAGAGCTAGTTCCAGGACAGCCTTCAAAGCCACAGAGAAACCCTGTCTTGAAAAACCAATAAAAAAAAAATGAGCAGCCTGTTCAGGTGGGATGGCATGGCAGCATCGTGCACAGACGTCTTTATGGCTGATACAACACACTTGATTAACAGCTCGCGTCTCAAGGGCACCTAGTAGCTAATTGTGTCTTCCACAGACTTCTGATAAGAACTGCCCCTCAAAGGGAGTCACCAGAAGAGCAGATTACCAAATGGTAGCACCACTTCCGTGGCAGCACTTTGGTGGCCCCAGGTCCGGTGAACATCTTGTGTGACGACAAGTCGGTCAATATCCTCGGACTCCAAGGCTGCATGATCTTACCCGTATGTGGAACCTGAAGAAGTTTATCTCGCAGAGGTCCACAGGAGGCTATGTTGGCAGAGGCTGGAGGATTGAGGGAGGGGCAGAGGCGGGTAAGGGCTGACCAGCAGGTGCTGTTAAAAGTGGACAGGTAAGTGAGAATCGACACACTGTTGAACAAAGATGGGGCTGTCCACAGCCTCAGTGTGGTCCTACCTCAGAAAGGCTAGAAGAAAAAATGTTAATATTTGTTTCTTTTTCTTTTTGAAACAGTTGGGAGTTCTGTGCTCATTTGCTTTGAATGGGGGCACACAGATACGTCAGGGGAGCATGCACATGTATGTGAGATTCCAAGCCCGATGTCTGGACCAGCTTCTAATGCTCTTCCACCTTATTTAGTGAGGTGAGGCCTCTCAGTCAGATCTCTAACTCCTGGGTGTGGCCATTCTTGGTAGCCAGCGTGGAATGTAGATGCCTGGACATACAGGCAGGCTGGGACATTCACTAAGCATTTGCACAGTGTGATGGTTTGAATGAGAATGCTCCCCATAGTCTCCAAACCAGACTTTGTCTCCCCCAACAATGTGATGTTCTCAGACACAAGGGTTGTTGGTTGCTACTGTTTAACAACAGGCTCATCTCTACCCACAGCCAGGCTGTTAGCACAGTTCATCGTTTCAACAATTCAGCTTAGATTCTCAACCACTGCCAGGCGGTGGTGGCGCACGCCTTTAATTCCAGCACTCAAGAGGCAGAAGTAGGCAGATCTCTGTGAGTTCAAGACCAGCCTGGTCTACAAGAGCTAGTTCCAGGACAGCCTCCAAAGCCACGGAGAAACCCTGCCTTGAACCCCCCCCCCAAAAAAGAAAAAAAAATTCTCAGTCACTTCCCTTAATGTCTTAAAGATCATCTCAAGTCCCTCTTCCTCTGCAGGTAATTTAAGTGACTTGAGCAAGCTCTTACCACGCTGCTTAGGCTGGCCTCTGACTTGTGGGCTCAATCGATACTTCTCTCTTCGCCTCCTAAATATAGGAAGTACCATTGCAGATAATTTTTCTTCCTTTTTTATTATAAATATTTAAAATTAAAATTAAGAACTTTCTCCTGCGAGTATAAGAATAGCTCAGTGGAGAAATAGACTTCAGTGCATACATTAAAATTTAGAGCTGTAATGAGGGAGACATGAAAAATTCCTAAAGAGAGGGGCAACCTTACTGCTACTGTAATTGCCTAATTATTCTTAGGAGTAATGAAGTTACATTCTAATTTCCTGTGTTTGCCATAGTTAATTAGTTAGTTAGTTAATTCCAGGTGAATGAAGTAATCTAATGGAGAAGTGGAAACAATACAGAGTAGAAAGATAGCCTGGCAGTGGTGGTGCACACTTTTAATCCCAGCACTCAGGAGGCAGATGCTGTCGGATCTCCGTGAGTTCGAGGCCAGCCAACGGCCATGACAGCATGACTAGGTGACTACTGATATTCTTTCACAGGAGGGGACATGCGGGTCTTTGGACCTTCACCGGAGCTGCCGGCCTACTGCTCCTAGTCTTTATATGCATTTTTGTCCTAATTACAAGTGGAGGAGGGTGTACTGGAGAGGGCCTAGACATTCAGCGGGAGAGGACCTTCACATATGTGGCTATGGGGAAGCCTCTTCCATGCTGGGCACAGACTTCATCCGGGCTCTGTAAGCTAGCTTAACAAACTCTTTCTTTCCCTAGAATGAGCTGAGCTAGAATCATTACGCGTTGGCTTATCTTAGAAATTTGGGAGGGAGGTGTAGACATCGATCCCATCTTGGAAGCTTGCCCAACTCAGGAAAGAAACTTTAGCCCCATCCTCACACCCCACCCCCCGATTCTGTAAGTAGAATTGTGCATCAACATAGACACTGACAACTTGCTGTCTCATCGGAACGGAAGTTTGGGGTGCGGTGGCGCCTCTGGGTGGTTGTCAGCACTGGGGAGACTGAGGGAGGAGGAGGAGGAGGAGGAGGAGGAGAAGGAGGAAGAAGAAGAAAGGTTCCAGCAATGTCACCAGTTATTTCAGGACGCACCCTCGGTCCGCGGTCTCCAGGCCGCAAAGTTTCCCGGGAAGCTGAGGGAACCGCGCCCCTGGAGATACCGCTAGGCATGCGTGCGGGGACCGGCTCTAGGCGTGACAGTCTCCGGCCAAGCTCAGCCAATCGGCGCCCTGCGTCCCTCCCGGCGTCCTGCGTGATGCCATGGAGACGGGAGGGCGTGCCAACGCCGAGCGGGGCCTGCCGTGGTGCTGTGCGAGCCTGGCATGCTCTCCCGGCTTAGCCCGGGATATTTCTAGATAGGATGCGCGGGCCGTAGGGTTGGGGGAAAGGTGTGCCCGAGGAGTCTCACTTCCGGCCCCAGTCCCTTGGGCCGGAAGCGCCGCGCCACTCAGCATCCGGGTCTCTTCCGGCCGACTGCGTGTTGCCATGGAGATGGGATGGATGTCTGCATCCAAAGTGTCCCAGCACCGAGGGAGGGTGGGTGCTCAGACCTGGGACCTGCTCACGAGTCTCGTCCCTTTCCAGCTGCAAATCCTGCCCTCAGAGGCAAAGCGAGGTCATTCCATAAAGGCCGTGAGGTCCTTAGAGCAGCTGGATGGGCGCGCAAAGCCGCTGACTTCCGGGTTCTGCGTCGGTGGCGGCCAGCCAATCAGGGCCCCGCGCCTTTTCCCGCGTCTCGCCGGTTGCTATGGTGACGCAGAGGCCGCATCCACGCGTCCGGGGAAGCTGGTCAGGTCGCTGGGTGCCTCTGTTCCCCCTGTCCAGGCTGCGGCGCGCCGTGGCGAGGCAGAGGGCGTGGGACGCGGGTACACGGGTCCCCATCATCGCACAGGTGGGTGGGGAGCCGAGGCTCCATCCCCGTCACACCCGGACCCGCCCCGTCCTCGCCAGGGCTTCTCCGCGGCCCCGGGGTCCAGGCCGGTAGTGATGGGCGTGAGCCTCCAGCCTGGTGGACGTCCTTGGTGTCCCTGCTGGTGGTGGGGATCCTGAACTCGCAGCCTGCTGTCCGCGGTCCACGCTGGTTATGCTGGCCACGAACCGCCCCAGCCCCCTTGCTGGTTAAAGCTGGTTGAGTTGGGAAATGCTCGCTCCTTAGCTCAAGCTTCCTGTGGCCTGTGGGGCAGATGATGATGGGAGAAACGGGATTCCAGCCTCCTGCAGGATGAGTCTCCAATGGTGCCAGGAAGCGCACCGCTGAGCTTTGCCTGCCCTGCCCGCCACGTTTCAGTCCCCGGGAAGGGCCGGTCCGGCCAGCAGAGCAAAGTTAAAGAGCTCCAGACTCAGAGGCTTGTAGAAACCTATCCAAAGCCTTTTTGTTTTGTTTTTCGAGATATGGTTTCTCTGTGGCTTTGGAACCTGGCCTGGAACTAGCTCTGTAGACCAGGCCGGCCTCGAACTCACAGAGATCCTCCTGCCTCTGCCTCCCGAGCGCTGGGATTAAAGGGGTGCGCCACAGCCGCCCGTCTTTAAAGTCTTATTTTTTTAAAATCACGTTTATTTATTTATTTATTTATTTATTTATACTTATTTATTTGCGTGTCACATGTGTATGTTGAGTGTAGAAGCCAGAAATGGTAGTTGTGAGCCACCCAGTGTGGGTACTGGGAATAGAACTCAGGTCCTCTGCAAAGAGAGCAGTATTTACTCTTAACAACTGAGCCATCTCTCTAGTCCATTGCTATGGTTTTGGCAAGGCTACTTGTGTGTGTGTGGGGGGGCGTGGCGGGCATGCACACAGGATTTGACCACGTCCACAAGCCTGCAGAGTAAGCACTTACCAGTTGAGCCTTCTTCTTCACCCCCTGTGTCCGTTTTGTAAAAAATTACATTTTAAGCTACAGTACAGTGTGAGGGGCTTCATCATGGCATGCTCCTGTACACATATCATTGTGCTTTTCTTGTATTTGCCCCTCACTATCCTGTCCTTCTTTTATTTTTTTGCTTTAAAGATTTATTTATTAATTATGTATATAGCATTCTGCATCTATGTATACCTGCACACCAGAAGAGGGCACCCGATCTCATTATAGATGGCTGGGAGCCACCATGTGGGTGCTGGGACTCGAACTCAGGACCTCTGGAAGAGCAGTAGGTGCTCTTAACTGCTGAGCCATGTCTCCATCCAGCCCCCTCAGTCCTGCTTCTGTTACCCCTCCCGCTTAGCCTCTTCCTCTTGTGCCTTCACAGTCTTTACCTTTAAACCTAGATTTCGCTTATGAGAGAAAACATTGAGTCTCTCCTGCCTCTCGCTACCCTTTGTGCCTGCTTCTCCTTCCCGTTGGCCACTCTCTTCCCTGTAGTCCCGTCTGCTCCCATGTCTTATATATGCTGTATGCTTGAATCTAGGTTGTATACTCTGCTGTGCATTGCGTATGTTCACATCTGGATTCCACCTGAGAGAAGACATGTGGTGCTTGTCTTCCTGACCCTGCCTCACCTCATACAGTCACCACAGTGACGGCAGATCTTACTCATCTCCCTGAAAATGGTGTCATTTCCCTCTTCCTCACAGCTGGGTGGCACTCTGCTGTTTGTGGAGAACACATTTTCTTCATCATTTGTCTGTGCACGGCCGCATCTAGGTTGAGTCTACATTTTGGTTATTGTGAGCAAGGCTTCATAAACAGAGATGCAGCGTACCCTGTGTGTGCTGCCTGAGCTTCCTCTGTGTGTGGGTGGTGCCTGCTTGTCCATGTGCATGTGTGTGCGTTCACATAGGAGTAGAGTGGCTGTACTGTAGGTGCGTCTGTCTGTCTTTTGGGAATCCTCCATATTGATGTCCTTTTGGCCACACTGGTCCACTGTGAAAAACAACAGTCTGGTGCAGTTCTGCCAGTTCTAAGTGCGCCTCATAGACCACAACTAACCAACCAACTAACTAACTAACAACTACCAACTACCTAACTACTAACTAACTAACTACAAACTACCAACTACCTAACTACTAACTAACTAACTACCTAACTACTAACTACCTAACTACTAACTAACTTCTTTGTTTCTCCTCCCTCCTCCTCCTCCTTCCATTCTCTCCTCTCTCTGTTCTTTTACCCCTCCTCCCTTCCCTCTTCTTCTGTGTTTGTTTGTTTGTTTCTTGAGACAAGATTTCTCGGTGTAGTCCTGGCTGTTCCTGACTGCAATAGTCTCAGTGTTCTTTAAAGTTGCATTTCCCTGATGGCTGATGATGCTGAGCACGCCTTCATTTATTTATCAACCATCCGTCTGTCTTCTGTAAACTGTCTGTCCCTTTCATTTTCTCATTTGTTCGCTGGTGGTTTATACTCTTCATGCTTTTATTGAATTTTTTAGATTCTTGCCGTTAATCCTGTGTGAGATATATTGATAGCAAAGGCTGTCCTGTCAAGCTGCCTTCACTCTGACTGGATTCTTTGCTGTGAGGAGGTTTTTCGGCTGCTGACAAGGGTTAGTTCAATGGTTATGCCTCTGGCTATTGAGTTCCTTACAGAAAGTCCTGGCCTCTGCCTGTGCCTTAGAACAGTGATGAACAGTGATGTGGAAGTGTGAGCCAAATAAACCCTTTCCTCCCCAGTTTGCTTTTGGTCATGGTGTGTACTCAGAATTTTTTCTTTGGCTTACCAACCAGCTTCCAAATAAATGTACAGACTTATTATTAATTATGAATGCTTGGTTTAGCTTAGGCTTGTCCCACTAGCTCTTTTAACTTCATTTAACTTGTTTATATTCATCTACAGTTTGCCTTGGGGATTTTAACCTTTCTTTCAGGCTGTATGTCCTACTTTCCTGTTTCTGCTGTGTCTGTCTGTCTGGCCCCTGGCATCTCTTTCTCTCTCTTCCCCCAGCCTAAATTCCTCCTAGTTACTTTCACTGCCCAGAAGTCCCTCCTAAACCCCTCCCTTGCTATTGGCCAGTCAGTTTTTTTTATTACACCAATCAGGTGCCTTAGGCAGGCAAGGTAAAACAGCAGCAAATCTTTATGTAACTAAAAGTTATACATCTTTATGTAACAAAAACTATACATCTTTGCATAGTTAAACAAATATTCTGAAACAATGGTGTTTCATCATAGCAATAATAATCCTAAGACAATGGGCTACATAGACGGTGTCTCAAAAATAAAAAAAGGTGGAGGAGAGACGAGAGAGATGGCTCATCAGTTAGGAGCTCTGACTGCTCTTCAGAGGACCTGGTTTGATTCCCAGCACCCACATCATGGCTAACGTTCATCTGTAACTCCAGTTACAGGGGATCTGATGCTCTCCTTGGGCCTCATTGGGCACCAAGCATGCATGTGATGGACAGACATAAATGCAGGCAAAACACCCATAAACATAAAATAAAAATAAACGCATTTTGGTTTTTTCTTTTTTTCTAGAAAACAACTCAAACCACACAAATCCCCAGCACTGGTGGTGGCATCTGAGTTGGTGGCAATGTTTCCATTATCCTTGGCCGACTCTGGTGCAGCCAGCTTGCATTTTTCACCTTCATTTCTGTTTACTTCCCAGGCGCTGGAGATGCTGTTTTACCATATATGAGAAATCTGTCCCGATATGGAAAACTTTATCCTGTATGAGGAGATTGGCAGAGGGAGCAAGACCGTGGTGTATAAGGGGCGTCGGAAGGGGACCATCAATTTCGTGGCCATTCTTTGTACGGAAAAGTGCAAACGGCCTGAGATTACCAACTGGGTGAGTCCTGGGTGCCTTCACCTGTCTGGAGGCGGCAGAATGTTAGGTGATGGGAGCATGCAATCCCAATGGTCTGGAGGCAGAGAGGAGGACCGAGAGTTCAAGGCCAGCCTGGGCTGCATAGTCTCAATAAGAAGGGATGGTGTAGAATGCTTGCCTACCATGTGCAAGGCCCTGGATTCCATCCGTAGCACTCAGATAGATGGATAGATGGATAGATAGATGGATAGATAGACAGATAGATAGATAGACGATAGATGATAGACAGATAGATGATAGATAGGTAGATGACAGATAGATAGTAGATAGAAAGATGATAGATAGATGATAGGTAGATGACAGATGGTAGATAGATAGACAGAAAGATGATAGATAGACAGACAATAGATAGATGATAGGCAGATAGATGCATGATAGACAGACAATAGGTAGATGATAGATAACAGAAACTGTTGGGCATGTTGTATCTATATTCAATGTTTTTACCCTGCAGTGAGGGCCCTGTCTCTCTCTGTCTGGTGCCATCAGTCTTGAATAATGATTAATGAACATGCCTAGGTAGTTGCCAGCTCTTTTGTTTCTGGTGCAAAGGGGTCTAAAATAGACATTTAAGAGTTGGTGTCTGAGGTTCGGCAAGATGGCTAGGTGGAGAAGCACCCACCACCAAGTTTGATGAACCTGAGCTCCACCCCAGGGACCCACACTGTGGAAGGAAACGCCAACTCCTGACCTCCATGCACATGCTCCAGCATGCAGCCCCCATGCACATACAACATTCCTGCAGGGGTCAGAGACCAACTTTTGCGTTGTGGATCCATGGACTGAACTCCTACCCAATGAGCCATTTTGCTGGTCCAGTGTGTATCCCACATTACAGGGACACGTTTACACTTGATGTTGTGGGAAGGAATCTGCTCACGCTGCCAGCAGGTTGCTTGCATTAACGGTAAACCTACCCACCATCCAAAGGCTGAGAAGGAGTGCAGACCAGTTGGCTGTACTGTTTGTCTTCTGCTACACACACAGGGTGGGGTGACGATGACCATGACAGGAGGTGAGAGCACCTGACCAGAACGACAAGAAAAGGCTTGGTAATGCCTGCTCTGGCTTCCCAGATTGCCAGCTGTCTGAATAAAGCACAGATTACACTCTCCTTTGCTCCTGGTTCTGTGCCTGTAGTGGCAGAGCAGGCTGCTCACACCCCGCTGCTCTGAGTTTTGTCCATGTAGGTTAGTTTTGCCCAGTGGTGTCCAGTCAGGTAACACAGGCAGTGTTGTAGAAGCCTGCCTACAGCCCTCCAGGCCCTTTTCCTCCCTGCCTGCAGACACTCCCTTCTCACAGAATAGATTATTCTTGTGGGTTTTAGCGTTGTGTAAACAGAGAGCCCGGATGCCTTTGTGAGGGGGAACTGATGGTTTGGACATGAATAGGATATAAGAACTGGAAGAGATGCAATGGCTATGTTGGGCATTTGTCCAGGCGCCAGTTACTGAGAGGGAAAGAAAGCCCAAGAGAAGGGCAGAAAGCCTGAGGGTGAGGGAAGAGGGATGGGGGAAGGGGTCTGTATAAAGAGATGGTTGGGACCCAGCAGGGAAGAGGAGAATGGAGAGGCAGTGGGCTAGCCACACTTTGAGTGGCTTCTCTACTCCTTCTGAGGCTACCGACTACAGTCCCTGGGTTCTTTGGAGCTCGTATTCTAGGCCCCACCCTGCTTCTGTTAACTGATTTGCTGGGAGGAGATTGGCTTTGCACAGATACAATTGAGTCACAGCAGTGTCTTCCTAGTGGAGGTGGAGGCAGCTCTCCAGAGCTGACCACTGGGATACCACACGGTGGGGGGGTGGGGTGGGGTGTCAAAGAAAGAGAGAATCAGCTGTGCTGTGCATCTGATGGAGTGGCTGAGGACTGGGGGGTGGAGAGGGGACTGACGGGGGGCGGGTGGCCTTCAAGTCGAGGCTTCAGTGGAGACAGGCACTGGAGCTGGGGTGTTCAAGATGGGAGGAGAAGGTAGCTAATTCTCAGGTTCTTCTGTGTGAAGGAACAGAGGGAGGATGGTGTCTGGGTGAGCATCTGAGGCAAGCATGGAAACTTGAAATAACATGGCCCGAGGCAGAGTGTTTATTGTCTCCCGTGTGTGGGAGATCCAGCATGTGTAAGCTGGTCTCTGCTGCCACAGCTCCCCCTTGCCAGTTTGCTGGGAGTGGAGGAGGAGAGGTCTCCTCAGGATTGCCGTCTTGAATAAAACCCCTTTGCAAGTTTCCTAGGAAATTTCAGCTGATGACCTTACTCCTGCCTCCACCCCCCAGACAGGGTTTCTCTGTGTAGCTCTGGTTGTCCTGGAACTCGCTCTGTAGACCAGGCTGGCCTTGAACTCACAGCTCTCCACCTGCCTCTGCCTCCCGAGTGCTAGGATTTAAGGTGTGTGCCACCTCAGCCCTGCTGGGCCAGTGATTTTTAGTAACACAATGCTGCTGTCCACAGGAGGCAAGGAAGTGTTTTCCAGTTAGGCAGGGGGTTGCCTTGGGCCATCCAAGGCTTCTCTTACTGTGAACATAGGTGAAGCAGATGCCAGGTCAGCCACCAGGGGCCTTTGCCAGGGACTTAAAGCAGCACTGGAGGGAGGGATAGACTGTGTAGACGGGTGGGTCTGGGAAGTCTGTCCTGTTAGGCAGGGGTGAGACCCACAGCTCTCAGACACGGACAGGAGGGGATATCCGGGGCATAATTTAGACTTGTGGTTTGTTTCTTTTCTCATCCCACCGTGTCTACAAAACACCAGCGTCTGCACGTGAGGTGAGCTACGAGTCAGTTTATTGTAAAGTAGACGTCGTGCGAGTGTGCTGGGGTGGCGCGGCTGACAGGTGTGTGGGCGAAGCCCACACACGTCGTTTGTTTTAGGATTAGGATGCTTTCAGCCTCCGTTGGATGTCTTGGGCCTTAGCGCCTTTGCAGAGCCACGGACGGACGGCCGCCGGCCGCGCTTGCCTCTGCATAAGTAGTTCTTTGCAGTCGGCGCTGGCACACGGGTGGCGTTTCTCAAGCTGGCCCCGACACCGCCCTTGAGAACCCCACTTCTGACTCAACAAACCCCACAGTCGGTCTGCTCTTCCAGCTGCCCTCAGATGCCTAGTGAGTGCTGCGTGCTCTTGCAGGTCCGTCTCACCCACGACATCAAACACAAGAACATTGTGGCTTTCCACGAATGGTACGAGACCAGCAACCACCTCTGGATGGTGGTGGAGCTCTGCACAGGTAGGCGCGCCAGGGGCGGAGCCAGATGGGTGGTGGGTGTGGCTGAGCCCAGCTCATTTCCCACAGGTGGATGCTGGGTGGTGGGTGTGGCTGAGCCAAGCTCATTTCCCACAGGTGGATGGTGGGTGGTGGGGTGGATGGTGGGTGGTGGGGTGGATGGTGGGTGGTGGGTGTGGCTGAGCCGAGCTCATTTCCCACAGGTGGTTCTTTAGAAACTGTGATTGCTCAGGACCAGAACCTCCCAGAAGATGTGGTGAGAGAGTTTGGCGTGGACCTGGTCACGGGGCTGCACCATCTCCACAGGCTTGGCATCCTCTTTTGTGACCTTACTCCTGGGAAGGTAACGAACGCCTGAGTTCTGACTTCCTTCCTTCCTAATGCCTCTGGTCTGCGCTCCCAGGCCTTCTCACTAAATAAAAGGACCTGTAGTGTCTATGTGTAGCCAATGCAGAGCCCAGTACTCAAGTGATGGGCACGCCTTTGGTTTGACAGTGACGTTCTTGGCTGTTTAGTGTTCCTGACTGCATAGACAGCGCTTTGTTTTCATTAACACTTTCCATGAGTAGATGCCTCTGTGTTTGTACTCAAGGACAGTGAGCCTGCTCAGCTCTCCAGCTGTCCTAGGCTGACTCTGGCGGCTATGTGTGATCTTGTCTGAGTCACTTCCTTACTCTGTAATATTTGCAGTGTGTTCAAAGTCAGTGCCATCCGTCCTGCACTGTTGCATAAGCCACATTCTTAGGGACTGCACACATCACTGGCCTGAGGTTTTCTTGTCCTTTATGTAGCAAAAGTGAAAGCTGAGTGTTTGGTCTGTGGCTTTGCTTTGTCAGCCATCTGTATATGAAGAAGAAACTGAAAAGGAAGGGGTGGGAACCAAAACAACAAAGACTGAAAGGAAAACTCAGTGCACATCTTGCAAAACACATAATAATCCTTGCTTGAAATATTCACAGATCTAACCCAGGTGTGCAGCCACGCAGCTGCCATTGTAGTGCAGAAAGCATCTAGAGACAATATGCAGATGTGCAGGTGTGTGTCGTTTATAGACTTCGAAATTTGAATTTTATAGAATTCTCACGTATTAAGAAATACCACCTCTCTTCTTTTTTAAAAAAAAATTTGAATTACAAACAAGATTGTTTTACATGTCAATCCCAGTTCCTTCTCCCTCCCGTTCTCCCCTACCACCCCACCCCCAACTAAAACCCTACCTATCACATATCCTTTGTGCTCCCCCTGGATGGTGAGGCCTTCCATCGGGAGTCATCAGAGTCTATCATGTCCTTTGGGATAGGGCCTAGGCCCACCCCCATGTGTCTTGGCTCAGGGATTATTCCTCTGTGTACCACCTCTCTTCTTGTGGTGGTGGTGGTGGTGGTGGCGGCGGCACACACCTTTAACTCCAGCACTTGGGAGGCAGAGACAGGTGGATCTCTTGAGTTGGAGGCTAGCATGGTCTACAGAGTTCCAGGTCAGCCAGGACTATTTATTTCACAGATAAACTCTGTCTCGAAAAACAAAGAAACACACAAACAAGCAAAAAGCAAAGAAATACCATTAGAGCTGAGCCTGTTGGCCCATGTCTACAATCCTAGCACTTGAGGGTTGAGGCAGGAGGATTCTCATAAGTTCAAGGCTAGCCTGATGTACATAGTGAGTTCCAGAACAGCTTGGGCAGTAGATTGAGACCCCACCTCAGAAGTAAAACAAACAAACCAACCCTAACACAACCCCCTCAAACCCACCCAATGTTTACTTGTCTTTACAAACTTCCTCATTCACAGCTGTGTGAAAGCAGGTGGGAATGAGGGTTTGGGCCCGAGGCTGTGGCTTGCTTAGAGCCCTGTGGGACATTTGATGAGGCTTTTACTGCAGAACTTTGCAGGATGGTCTGTAATGTAGACTGCTCTAGTAAGCCAGGGTTTAGAGATAGTTGGGCAGGTTCCTGTTTCTGCCAATAAAGTTTTATTGAATCACTGACCCACTTTGGAGCTGTGGGTTTAGCACATGCTGGATGGTAGCGTTTGTTTGAACAGGTCTCCAGGGGACACGGATGGTGAAGTTAGAGGCCAATGCGGTGGCTTAGCTGACGCCTTTAGTGAGCTGTAGTGTCTAGGAGTTAAGGTCAACTTTAAACTGCTCTCAACAGAGGGTCACCAGGACCACAGTTGTCAGCAGCATTTTGAAGGATGTGGCTGGAAATGATGCAGTTTTCTGGGCTGCTTCAACAATCCACAGCAACTTCTGATCACACAGGCGTTGGTCAACTTGAGTCAGTCCTAGCCCTTCATCTGTGCGACGTCCATGAATCCCCACAGAGCTGAAAAAGCAGGGCTGCACCCTCCCTGCTGTACACTGTGTGAGAAACAAGATTTCCAGTGGTTGCCATACCCCCCAGGGTTAGGCAGTGGATAGGAGGTGACGTGGGCCCAAGTCTCTAGGCCAGCACTAGCTACAGTCCCTCAGTTTAAGCCCCACACTATAGTCCTTTCTTGAGGAAATGATGCACAGGCAGTGGGTCTTTAGACCCCACTCACTCCCTCAGTGTGTTCTTGGGGACTGGCCTTGAGCCCTGTCAAATACCCACACCCACAGTGCTCCAGGCTCACACATCAAATGCTGTGGTTGCCTTACATAACCTGTGCACATCAGAAAATCTCCGCCCCAATTATTTTAATCCACAGTTGCTTGACTTTGTGGGTTTAGAGCTTGGGGGTACAGAGTGCCGGCCGTCTTTATCTTCATTCCTTATCTGCATAATGCAACCTCTCTGTTCTCATCTTTCCACAGCCCAAGGCTCCCTGGTGGCCCTATGGTGCCTGAGAATGGATATTTGAGATGGACAGTGTCAGCTTTGATTCTGCTGTTACTAAAATGTCATTTTTGAGGGGGCAGTTCCCACGTTTTATTTAAGCCACAGCTCTCGTGATAATTCCTGTAGTTGGTTGGCTTCTTTTTAAAAGCATAGCATGCCAGCATTCTTCAGAGCCATGACAAGGCAGGAAGGCTGCGTGCCCTGGGTGCCGTCAGGAGAGGTTCCTCAGACCCTGTCTCTGAAAACACCGATGCTTCCCACCTTGTAGATACTCTTGGAAGGACCTGGAACCCTGAAGTTCAGCAATTTCTGCCTGGCAAAAGTGGAAGGAGAGAGTCTGGAGGAGTTTTTTGCTTTGGTAGCAGCAGAAGAAGGAAGTGGGGATAGTGGAGAAAACACACTGAAGAAAAACATGAAAAACCGAGTCAGAGGTAGGTGGGGGCCAGGCAGCTCACG